CCCCAAAACCCCAAAACCCCAAAACCCCAAAACCCCAAAACCCCAAAACCCCTTTTTAAAAATATTTGATTGAAACCAAACACAAAAGCTAAATTGAAGGAAGAGTAGCAGTACTATCCCTCCTCCCTCCAATCTCTCCTATCCCACCCTCTCTCCTCCCAAACACCGTATTCCTTCCATAATTCCTCTCTTTCCTTCTCCCCCAGTCCTCTTCCCCAAAATCCTTCTCCTTCTGAACCAACCTATTGTACAGATAATCTGCCAGCTGGTCTCTTCTTCCGATCATCCTTCAGCCTTCGTCAAGTCGCAGATTCTCTTCTTTAGGTTCTATGCTGAGAGAATGGCTTACCGTGACTCAGGTTGTGCTTGAGGACGTCTTTTTGGATTAACATGTTTCTTAAGTTTAAGCGAAGTTTGTCTAGAGATTAGAGGAGAGATACTGGTGTCTATTTGAGGCTTGGGAGGGGGGTTTAGGGAGGTTAGGTATGGGTTTATGGGGGAATGGGAAGGTTCAGGATGGTTAATGGTGTGATTCATGTCTTTTAAGAATTTGCTTCGAGATTTATAATAATTGTTGACGATTTGAGCTTGAAATGGCTTTATCTGAGCTGGAGTTGGCTGAACAGAAGCATTTCCTATATTTTAACTTCTTTTACATACTTTCTATTCTAATATTCTGGATATTATGTAACTGGGTTTTTAAATTAATTTTTCTCTGCTCTAAACACATAATAGCCTAAAATACTCTTTCTTTTGATAAGCCTCTTTATTTCCTTATTTAAGCTCCTTCTGCCTACTTAGTAACTTCAATGATAACTTCATCTTCTGATTTATCGGATCAGGATCTTCAAGTTCATAAGTCCCATCTTCATTCTGCTCATAATTAAAATACTCAGGAGAAAGCCTATACCGAGGGTAAGGAAGAGACATTTGGATTTTTAAGTCAATAATTTTATGGAATTTTGAGAGATACTTTGGGGTTTTGGGGTTTTGGGGTTTTGGGGTTTTGGGGTTTTGGGGTTTTGGGG